AATGCTTACATTGGGAAGATGACTGAATTATCTGTTCAGAGATGCAACAGTTTTACATGCATGAGAACAAATAGGGGAAAACAGGCATTTACTGTCAGCTGTGTTTAGCTTACAATTTAACACTTGCTCATACTGGCATTCCATGAGGAAACCGTGAGCATGTCTAGTTCTGTCAGTATTCCAAACAGTTTGAAGATATGTAATGCAAATTTGATTAGAGACGAATGCACAAGTTATAGCTTGTTTCATTTTTCACTAAAAAAAACCTTAGGCTTTCCAGCTGAAAGAGAAAAAAAAATGTTCAGCATATTTTAGTATCCTTGTACTTAGGCTCAAATGAAGGAGTTAATATAATTTGGAGTAGGAAGCTTGAAGAGGGTACTGTACTGATAATTCTGCAAATTTGGGAAACAGAAAATGTTCTGATTTGGAGATTGCTTAATCAGATTGTTCCTAGAATGTTTTCTCTTTCAAGTCATAAACAATTGCAGCTTGATAAAATTAATGCTTAATGGTGTATTAAAATTAGATACAGTCAGAGTCCAAGTGTACAGTTTATTTTCAAATAATATTAAGTGCTTGTATTGATATATATAATAGAATCTGAATCAATGGGATGTTGTTTTTTGGCTTATCAAACGTTGGCTTGAAAGCAGATGTCTTCTTCTTCTTGTGCCGTATCCGTTATCGGACGTTGGCGATCCTGTTGGCGATCCTGTTTTTATCAGCAGCTGCACGAAAAAGTGCTGCTGAGTTTTGTCCGAACCAGTCCCTTAGATTTTTGAAGCCATGATGTTCTTCTTCTGCCTGGACTGAAAGCAGCTGTGGTGAACTGTAAACTAGAGTTTATAAATTGTAAGACTCTGTTAATGGAGGTTTACCATAGGATAGAATTAGCTTATCTGTTCATATTTCCTAGCTGGTCTGCCTGGTAATCTTGGAATCTGAAAGTATGATTCTCCTCCCATCTCCTTTACAGTCTGAAAAACTAGGGAGGATCTCTTCTTGAGCCTCTTGCTGTGTCCACTATCCAGCTGCGGGCTATTCTGTCTCTTATCTGACCATATCCTAGGCAGCATCTCTTCACCTGTCTCCCAAGATCATTCCCAAATACCATTACAGAAGTTCATTAGTGACAACTGTCTGCCTCTTTTTCATTGTTCCCCATCCCTTTTTCACCTGTGTGTGAGGCTCCACCTTCCTTACTCTTCAAATCATAAAAGGAAATGTCTTTGGAATGGATAAAGAAATAAAATTCCCTGCCCTTCCTATAGAAGATATTTAACAATTGGACAGAGTAGCATGAGACCATGTGTTGGTCTGTAAAAGGATATGGCTTGTAAAGATGTTTCCTTTGAATCCTGGATGAATATGGATGTATTTCCGTTGCAGAAGATTCTGATGAAATTATGCAATTACAGCTGACCGGGCAGATCTAAATATAGATGGAAATGTCTGTTCTTTTGCCTGTGTGTTTCTAATACACCTACACAGATTATGAGAAAACTGCTATTTAAAAAAAAGCAGATGTTTGTTCAAAATGGGAATGGATCTCTGAAAAAGCAAAGGCTCAGCCTGTTTTGGCACTCCTTTTTGAAAATATTTGCTTTTGTACCATATTCTAAATTTGTAAAACTGTAAATTTTATTGTAAATTGTAAATATTCTGAAAATATTTGCTATTGTATCATATCTATACACTGAAGGAATGAATTATTAAGAATGTAAATGATAACTAATTATGCTAAGGCAATAATTCCAAATTTGGTACCTTGAAATCTATAGGAATTACAATTTCCATGCTAGACAGGAATTCTGGAAAGTGTACCCTGGGCCCGTAATACACAACTGGTTAGTAAAGTTTGCCTTTGCACCATCTGCTCAAATGTTTGTGTGAGAAACTGGTCTTCATAACTGCATCTGCCAAAACCATTATTTCTAGGTGCATTTGTAGCATTGTTTCTGTGGTTCTATGGCTGGCTCAGGAATTCTGGGAGTTGAAGTCCACGAGTCATAAAAGAGCCAAGGTTGCCTATCCCTGTTCTAGACCAAGTATTATTCATTTTTTTAAAATTCCAATAATTGTAACATAGAAATTCTTATAGTCCAATTCTTAGCACTTAAGATACCAGTGCATTTGACTGTGACATGCTTGATTGCCTCTGCTAAACTCTAGGACAGTGATGGCAACCTTTTAGAGACCGAGTGCCCCAAAACCACCCCAGACCCCCCCGCTCTGCCCCCCCGGAGGGCCACTCACCACAGATCGCCCAGGCGGCTTTGCAGTGCCATGGCGGCCACACCCGAACCCCATAGCATCATCTGCACATGATGGGGCACAAGGGTGGAGTCTTGCTCCTGCTGCCCGGCTGTCATGTGCTTGGCTGCGCTGCTCCACGTGGGCCGCGCCTGGAGGAGACTTTCCTCCAGGCAGGCTGCTGGTGAGGGGGTTGCGGGTGGAGGCAGGGCTGGGGCAACGGCTTGCGTGCCCACAGAGAGGGCTCCGAGTGCCACCTCTGGCACGCGTGCCATAGGTTCACCACCATTGCTCTAGGATAACACTTGGCAGCTCTTTTTAGATATCCTATTATCCTTCTCTGGCATGGCCAATGGATAAGGATTTCTTAAATACATTTTTGTAGCAAATTAGATCTCCTGTCTCCCAACCCAATTAGTTTTTGATATATGCCGCTAGTCTTCTTAGTTCTGGGGCCTAATTTAATTGAAGGAATTCCTTCATGAATGCTATCCTTACAAACTGGGGATTGCCTACTCCTTCCTAACAAGTTAGACTGGGTTTTCTTCATTTACATATATACTTTAAAATTGACATTTCTCCTTTCCTTCCTGCAAGTCAGCTTTTCAAGCTTAACTGCAGTAAACAACAAATGCTGAAACAAACTCTTCAAAATGTTTTGCTTTCCACAAGTCAGTTATAGACATGTTTTGATCTCAATAGGATTCATTTGGCTGATTGCCTCTTTTGACACTTACCCTAATACAAAATGATTTAGATTACCCTAAGAACCTTTCCAAGTATCAATGTCAGAATATCTGAATCTGTAGTTTCCTGCTTTTTTCTGTTCTTTGAAGACTGAAATGTCAGTCATCTGGCACTTCAATGGTTCACTGGGTTTTCTTAAAGATAATATATGTATTCAGCCAAACCATTTGTTAGTGCCTTCAGTACTCAAGGATGCATCTGGCTCCAGAGATTTAGATTTCTTGAGAATAAATATTTTTTTATTATGTTGCTGCTAATTTATACTGCTCTTCCCTAATGAATATAGATTTTTCTCACTCAAGTAGACTGAATCTCAACACTTCCTGATAAGCATTCAGTCTACTGGATTGCTTTTTTTTCCCTTAAAAAAGTCCTCTTTGCCTTAGATCATCTGTTATACTAGATTGGGGGCTTTTTGTTTATTTATTTGTATCCCACCTTTATTATTTTTATAAATAACTCAAGGCAATGATTATATCCAACCCACCTTCCTCCTCCTGTTTTCTCCACAACAGCTACCCTGTGAGGTGGGTTAGGTTGAGAAAGAGTGACTGGCTTAAGGTTACCTAACTGGTTTTCACGGCTAAGGCAGGATTAGAACTCACAGTGCCTGGCCTTCTAGTCTGGTGCCTTAAATTTGTTGGGCAAGCTCTCTGAGCAATGATATTGTGTTAGAATCATTAAAATTAAATATCAAAGTCAGTCAATTGTTTATATATTTCATATTCTTATATTACTAAAAGTCTTGTGTTTGTTTGTAATTTTCAGTTGGTCAAAATTAGTAGATATAGGGAGAGAGGGAGAAGGAGTGGAGATATAGGAAGGAAGGAAGGAAGGAAGGAAGGAGTGGAGGGAGGGAAGAGAGGAAGGAAGCACGGAGGGAGAGAAAGAAGGAAAGGGAAGAGGGAGGGAGAGAAGGAAGAAAGAAATGAAAGGTTATTTCCAATGCTCCCACTAGGACACTCAATGACACTAGAAGCCAGCCAGAAGTCAGAAGTCTCTCCAACTCCCACTGTTGTTTTTGGCTGCTTATAATCATTCTGTTTCTCTGTTTAAGTAAGAAAATATTTCTGAAACAGTACCTAAATGGGTCACAGGTTGTCTAGTATCCCAGTATATACAAAGACTATATTTCTGGAAAAAGCAGTATGAATTTTGATTTGAATGCTGCAGAAGCATTTTAATCAGACATCTTTGTTAAGCCATTTTTTCCCTTTTGGTGTGTGTGTGTGTGTGTGTGTGTGTGTGTGTGTGTGTGTGTGTGAGAGAGAGAGAGAGAGAGAGAGAGAGAGAGAGAGAGAGAGAGAGTATAATCTTGGTTAGTTGGATTTTTAAAACCCATTGACTGGTTCATAACAAGCAACACTAAATATAATAAAATTAATTTGTCATAATTATGAGTGGCAGTTTTATAAACCTGTACGACTAAATTAAAGAGTTAATAGTTGTTCAGACTGATATAGTTGCTTATAAACTCTGAGCAAATTCAGGTGTGGGATATCGGCCATCAGTATTCTGAATAGCCAGCAAACTGTTCACATATTAACTGCTGATCGACTTCAGAGATTGATAGAAATCACATTATGTACTTTTAATTCTTTCAGTTATCTAAACTAAAATACTATTTTGAAAGAGGTTTGTATATTACATGAGGAGTAAAAAAAACTGGCTTTATTTCATAATACAAAAGAACTAATATTATATGATAACCCTTTACTCAGTAATAATAAAAATGTCCTATTAGAGTCTGGATTTTGCCAATGAAGTAGAAAAGGTATGCTATCGATATTGGTAAAGTCAGGGCTTTTTTTTGTCATAGAACGCCCAGAACGGAGTTCCTGCACCTTTTTTGGATGGAACCTTGTAGGGTAGGCAAGGCAGGTTGTATAACGTGTGTGAGTTCCGGCATCTTTTTTTTTTTTTTTTTTTTACAAAAAACGCACTGGGTAAAGTTATATTGTTTTAACAGAACTTCTTTTTTTCCTCCCAATGTTAAGTTCTGTAGGTACCTGGCTAAGACGTGGAACTCCAAAGACATCTATCAGACTGGAATGTTGGGTTCATTTTGCAAGAATTCGGAATTGGGAAAGATCATCTGAATTTGTTCTGGACAGTTGTTGGAAGGAGATATAGAAATTGTGCTCCAATACTTTCCTTCTAACTAATCACTATGAATGTGACAAGTTTGTTCTCCTTTACAAGCCCAGCTGTTAAAAGACTGCTGGGTTGGAAGCAAGGGGATGAAGAGGAAAAATGGGCAGAGAAAGCTGTTGATGCCTTAGTTAAAAAACTTAAGAAGAAAAAAGGAGCAATGGAAGAGTTGGAAAAAGCATTAAGTTGTCCTGGTCAGCCAAGCAACTGTGTTACAATTCCTCGTTCCTTAGATGGCAGACTTCAGGTTTCTCATCGCAAGGGGCTTCCCCATGTAATTTATTGTCGTGTGTGGCGCTGGCCCGATCTTCAGAGCCATCATGAACTTAAACCATTGGAATGCTGCGAGTTTCCCTTTGGTTCAAAACAGAAGGAAGTCTGCATCAATCCCTATCATTACAAACGAGTGGAAAGCCCAGGTAGGAAATTTCGTTATATGTTCATTTCCCCTTCTTTCCCCATCTACAGTTATTTTTAACAATAGCACTAAGTGGGATTAATTCAATGGGGGAGAGGGGAGATTTTACTTTTTCCTATTCTAACATTACTGAACTGTAATAAAGTAACAATATATTATATTTATATTTGTTAAAGTACTCAGGCAGACTCTTAACATGACTGGAATTGATAGCATGAAAGCAATAATCTTTTGCCCAAAACACTTTGACTTCCTGAGCTTGGTTGTTATCTTGCAGATATTTCGTTACCCAAACCAAGTAAGATTTGTGCCATTGGGCAGGGGTAGGCAACCTTGGCTCTTTTATGACTCGTGGACTTTTCAACTCCCAGAATTCCTGAGCCAGCACAGCTGGCTCAGGAATTCTGGGAGTTGAAGTCCACGAGTCATAAAAGAGCCAAGGTTGCCTACCCCTGCACTAAGGAGTGGGGTTTGCTCTCATGTTATATTCTAGTGGCTTGCCCTGTCAGTGTTAGTGAGATTAGTCTTGGTATTTTTTGATTTGGAAGTTTACTGTTAACTTCTTTGCAGTTCCTTTGGCAGTTCATTTCAATCCTTCTCTCTCCATACTTTGACTTCCTTTAAAACTTCCCTTGTCTTGTGAGAGAGGAAATAGAAATATGAAAGCACCAGTGTATGATTTTCATCAGTGCCTTTTGCTGAGTTTGAAGTGAACTTGCTTAGGTGAGATATTGCCTTGAGCAGTAACTTCTACATTAGATTTGGGTGCATCTGCTGTACTTCATTTGGGAAAAGACTTCTCTGAGTTTACAGCAAAGGCTGTATATGACATACTTAGTGAGTTCTTGTTTGCAATATATTTTTGGTTTATAAAAAATTACGGTATATCCAGTAAATTAATGAGCAAAACTTAGTTACATGATGTCTGAAGATTTGTGGCAAGTTGGCAAACAACACATATAAACTGTTTTCTTTATAATCAGATTTAAAGAACTGTATTATAGGTCACAACGGTAAGGAAATTGCTTGAATTGTTGAAGCATTGTTATTACTGTATTTCTGAAACCAAGAGGAGAGACTGCTAGTCTTTGAAAGCAGTCAGCAGTCTGGTAAGTCAGCTAGAAATTGAAACAGCTAGAATCAGGCGAAACTTTAATGGGAATTCAAAGCTTGGAGAGGCCACCCTTTGTCAGACTACTTCCTGATATGACTGCTGCATATGTGTGGTTATAAGAGGAAGAAGAAATGGTGGAGGAAACTTGCCATCAGTTGGCAAACACTCCTGCACAATTGTCGGAAAGAAAGGCCTTGCACAGGCATTTCTGTAACAGCCAACTGTAATTGACTATATGAAACTATTTTTGTGCTATGTATACAGAAGTATGATAGCTTAAAGATGATGCCAAATCTATCTGGCACATTAAATGTGCTTTTGTATCTGAAGTAAGCATAACTTGTTCAAATAGCTCCACTAAAAGAAATAGGGAAAACTAAATTTAAATTATGTAATGAGAACATCATAACTCATTCCACCCTATTAAAGTTGATTCTAATTTTAATGTTTTTGTTTTGCAAAATCTTTAGGAAGCCATTCTATACATAATATTTTATATGGTTTACAAAGCAGAATACATTTTTCAGTTATTCAGGCATTTACATTCTTCCCATGTCATAAGTAGACGGGTAATACCATATATAACGCCTGAAATAATACCCTATTTTTAGCATTTTTAGGCTAATGATACAATGGATAAATTTAGGTGTGCCCTGCCTGCATTTCTTTTCTTCTTTTAAAATAACTTTATTAAAATTATAAAAAAAGAAAGAGAAAAGTAAGAGAAATTAATATTTAGAATACAGAAAAAAAAGTAGTAAAGAAAAGACAAAGTAGTAAAGAAAAAACAAAAGTACAGAAAAAGGAAAGAAAATTTAAAGAAATGAGTTGTGATTTTCTTTTTTAGGAATTATAACTGCACATTAACCTCTTACTCTATGTTCACACCACAACTTTCATTTTTTTCTCTAATCTATCTTTTATAGATTATATAAATCTATATAATCTATAAAGATTTGTCCTATTTGTGGTGTATGTTTTACCACAAGCTTGCAGAATTAAAGCATTACAAAGTCTAGCTGACAAGATTCTATGGGCTGAAGAAATATATCCTGATTCACTCCTCGTTGTGTTAGGAGATTTCAACAGTGCTAACTACCAAAATACTTTCAGCATGTCAACTGTCTCACTAGAGACAAGAATACTTAGACCACTGCTACACAACACTAAAAGATGCCTATCAGTCTTTACCACGAGCAGCTGTGGGACACTCTGATCATAGTATGATTCACCTTGTACCTGTTTATAGACAAAAGACTTAAAACCATAAAACCAACAATTAAATCAGTGAAGTCTTAGACTGAGGAGGCAAAGCTAAACTTCAGGCTTGCTTTGACTGCACTGATTGGAAAGTTTTCGAAGATACCTCTGCAGACTTGGATGAACTCACAGATATAACATCATATGTTAGTTTTTTGTGAAGACCTATGTGTGCCAACCAGAAACTTATGCATATACAGTAACAACAAGCCTTGGTTCACAGCTAAACTCAAGCAGCTACGTCGTGCCAAAGAGAAAGCCTACAGGAAAGAAGATAGAATGCTGTACAACCAGACTAGAAATGTATTAAGAAGGGAGATCAGAGCAGCAGAAAGAAACTACTCTGAAAAGCTAAGGAATCAGTTCTCAACAAATGAGCCAGCAAATATGTAGAAAACTCTAAAAAAACATCACTGGTTACAGCAAACCTCCTCTCCGTGCTGAAGAAATTAACAACTGGCAGATGATCTGAATGTGTTTTACTGTAGGTTTGAGAAGAAACCACTGTCATTATCTCCACTATTCCCATCTTAGATACACTAACAACAGCCAAACCTCCTACAACTGACTCTATCCCCTTGGGTCTCCCACTTCTGATGATCTCAGAAAATGATGTGCAAGGTCTATTTCACATACAAAAGCCTGGAAAAGCACCAGGCCCAGACAAGATAACTCCTTCTTGCTTGAAAGTTTGTGCTGACCAATTGGCCCCCCGTCTTCATCCAAATCTTTAATAAATAACTAGAGATGTGCTATGTTCCTTCTTGCTTCAAATGGTCTTCTATCATCCCAGTGTCAAAGAAACCCTCCATCAAGGAACTGAATGACTACAGACCAATTGCTCTGACATCCGTAGTTATGAAAACCTTTGAAACACTAGTGCTGGCCCACCTGAAAACCATTACACATCTGCTGTTAGACCCCTTGCAATTTGCCTACCGAGCAAATAGATTGGCAGATGATGCTGTTAATATGGCTCTGCACTAAATCCTACAACATCTTGAATCTCCAAAGACCTATTCAAGGGTCTTTTTGTAAACTTCAGCTCGGCATTCAATACCATCATTCCAGATATTCCTCTCACTAAACTAAATCAGTTGGCTGTGCCTGACCACACCTGTAAGTGGATCATAAGCTTTCTAACAGACAGGAAGCAAGAAGTGAAGCTAGGCAAAATCACATCAGATACCTGTTCAATTAGCACAGCTCCCCCCCCAGGGCTGTGTGTTCTCTCCACTTCTCTCTATATACCAATGACTGCATCTCAAAAGATTCCTCTGTTAAAGTACTGAAGTTTGCAGATTATACAACAGTGATTGGTCTCGTTCGAGACAATGACGAATCTGCATACAGACAGGAGGTTGAACAACTAGCCTTGTGGTGCGGCCAGAACAATCTTGAACTGAACACACTCAAAACGGTAGAAATGATAGATTTTAGGAGAAGCCCTACTATTTTACCACCTCTTACAATACTAGACAACATAGTATCAACAGTAGAGACCTTCAAGTTTCTAGGTTCTATAATATCTCAAGATTTAAAATGGACACCTAACATCAAAAGTGTCATCAAAAAAGCACAACAAAGAATGTTCTTCCTGTGGCAACTCGTAAAGCTCAGACTACCCAAGGAGCTGCTGATACAGTTCTACAAAGGAATGATTGAATCTGTCATTTGCACTTCTATAACTGTCTGGTTTGGAATTGCAACCAAACAAGACAGACATAGACTTCAGCAAATAGTTAGAACTGCAGAAAAAACAATTGTACCAGCTTGCCTTCCATTGAGGACCTGTATACTGCATCCCCCCAAAATAAGACCTAATGCCTCTTTTGGGGGCAAAAATAACATAAGACCGGGTCTTACTTTCGGGGAAACATGATAGTTGGAGAACTACTCAAATTCACTATTACTTGCATGGACATTGAAAGCTATGCACCGGAGAAAAATTCCTCGTGTGTCTAACCACGCTTGGCCAATAAAGAATTCTATATTCTATATTTATCTATTAAAAACATACATCTTAAATTCATTTTTCTATTTCATGCAAAGAGTGTATACAGGCTTTTCCATTTGCAATAAACTTAGTTAATGCCTTTTCTATGGTGAAAGATGTTAATTTGGTAATTAAAAAATGTAGCAAATTTTATCTTCTTTATCATCAATTTCTCCATTGTGGATAATGCCAAGTCTTTCCACCTTTGTGGCACCTAAAAGAATTAATGCAGCTTGTTTTTCATTGTGCTATCCCAAATATTCTAGAAACTCCCGCACAGTTCTGATACAGGCTTTAACTGTCTTTTAGCTAAAAAAAAAATATATTAATCTTCATGAATAAATTCTTGCAAGATTATTTTCAGTGTATCAGCTAGAATTATTGTGAATAACTTATAATAATTCAATAATCATAATGGATTTATATTTTTTTGTAAAGTTAAATCTTATCCTTTTTAGGCATTAGTGCTATATTATCTCATTTACAAATTTCTAGCATCTTTCCTCCCTGTAAAATAGAATTTATTGTATTTTGATGACAACTTGCCGCTGCCATTTCACCCTAGCCCAGGGGTCCTCAACCTTGGCAACTTTAAGACTTGTGGACTTCAACTTCGGAATTCTGGGAGTTG